AAAAACACAAACATGTTCTTGTTGGTGTCTCCTCATGTTCTCGTTCTTCTTCTTGTTCTTCTCGTTCTTCTTCTTTTTCTTCTTCTCGTTCTTCTTCTTCTTGTTCTCGTTCTTTTTCTCGTTCTTCTCGTTCTCGTTCGCTCCTGCTGTTCTTCTGGCTCGTGTGAACCTTTAGTCGCTGCGTTCCAAACAGGAAGTGTTCATGGACGCACTTCAGCTCCACGGACTCTGGCTCCAGTTCAGTTTCTCTCTGGACCTGCTGCTGTCAGGCTCCTCACTCTGACCTTCACATGTCGGTCTGAACCTGCTCCACATCATCCTGGGGTTTGGACTTTTGTCCCAAATCAGGATCTGAACATTAAGAACCGACCAATCAGACGCCTCCTTTCCCCTCCTCTCACTCTCTGCCTCTGGTTCTCCTCTGACGGTTCTTCTCCTCTGGTTCTCCTGTTCTTCTCCTCTGACGGTTCTTCTCCTCTGACGGTTCTTTTCCTCTGGTTCTTCTCCTCTGGTTCTCCTCTGACGGTCTCTCCTCTGACTTCCCTCGTTCTCTCGTTCTTCTCCTCTGCCTCTGGTTCTCCTCTGACGGTTCTTTTCCTCTGGTTTCTCCTCTGTTCTCCTCCTCTGGTTCTCCTCTGACTCCTCTCTCTCCTCTGTTCTCCTCCTCTGGTTCTCCTCTGACGGTTCTTTCCTCTGGTTCTCCTCTGACGGTCCTCTTCTCCTCTGACGGTTCTTCTCTTCTCCTCTGACGGTTCTTTTCCTCGGTTCTTCTCCTCTTCTCCTCTGACGGTCCTCTGGTTCTCCTCTGACGGCTCTTCTCCTCTGACGGTTCTTCTCCTCTGACGGTCTTTTCCTCTGGTTCTCTCCTCTGGTTCTCCTCTGGTTCCTCTGTTCTCCTCTGACTCCTCTGGTTCTCCTCTGATGGTTTCTCCTCTGGTTCTCCTCTGACGGTTCTTCTCCTCTGGTTCTTCTCGTTCAGGGGGAGAAGTCCTTCTTCCTTCAGCCCGGAGAGCGTCTGGAGAACGGGATCCAGGACGTGTTCGTTCTGTCCGAGGAGGAAGGGCTGGTGCTGAGAGCTGTGGAGGCCTTCGACGACGTGGACCCGGTAAGAACCAGGACTAGACCAGGACTGACCCAGAACTAGACCAGGACTGACCCAGGACTGACCCAGGACTGACCCAGGACTGACCCAGGACTGACCCAGGACTGACCCAGGACTGACCCAGGACTGACCCGGGTCCTTTGAGCCTGGTGTTTGTAGACTGGTGTTGGTTCTCACAGTGAGTTTTAAATAAATCTCAGATGTTTGAAGGAGGAGATCTGTGTTTGTCAAAGTCGTGTTTCTGTAGAAAAACATTTCAGTCATAAATCACAGACCCGCCTCAGAAACACCTCAGAAACACCTCAGAAACACCTCAGACTCTCCTCAGACCCGCCTCAGATCAATCAGCAGGATTACAGAGACGTGTACAAACAGTGGGAGGTTGGTCTCTGGTTTGTGGTGGCGCTGGAGCAGATCGGCAGGTGCTGCACCCGCCCACACCCAACGTACATTCTGTTCCTTGTACAAATGTGGCCCCGCCCCCTGTGACCTCTCACCTCGGAGTGTTGAGTGCGACTCGTGTTGAACCTGCGGAGATAAACGTGAGATAAACGTGAGATAAACGTGAGATAAACGTGAGATAAACGTGAGATAAACGTGAAATAAATGTGAGATAAACGTGAGATAAACGTGAAATAAACGTGAGAAAACGTGAGATAAACGTGACATAAACGTGACATAAACGTGACATAAACGTGACATAAACGTGAAGTAAACGTGACATAAACGTGACATAAAACGTGAAATAAACGTGAAGTAAACGTGAGATAAACGTGAATAAACGTGAAGTAAACGTGAGATAAACGTGAAGTAAACGTGAAGTAAACGTGAGATAAACGTGAAAACGTGAAATAAACGTGAGATAAACGTGAGATAAATGTGAGATAAACGTGACATAAACGTGAGAAAACATGAGATAAATGTGAGATAAACGTGACATAAACGTGAGAAAAACGTGAGATAAACGTGTAACGTGAAATAAACGTAAACGTGAGAAAACGTGAGATAAACGTGAAACGTGATAAACGTAAACGTGAGATAAACGTGAGATAAACGTGAAATAAACGTTAAACGTGAGATAAACGTGACGTGAATAAACGTGAGATAACGTGACGTGAGATAAACGTGAAACGTAAACGTGAACGTATAAACGTGAGATAACGTGATAAACGTGATAAACGTAACGTGAGATAAACGTGAGATAAACGTGAGATAAACGTGATAACGTGAATAAACGTGAGATAAACGTGAGATAAACGTGAGATAAACGTGAAATAAACGTGAGATAAACGTGAGATAAACGTGAAATAAACGTGAGATAAACGTGAAATAAACGTGAGATAAACGTGAGATAAACGTGAGATAAACGTGAGATAAACGTGAGATAAACGTGAGATAAACGTGAGATAAACGTGAGATAAACGTGAGATAAACGTGAGATAAACGTGAGATAAACGTGACATAAACGTGACATAAACGTGAGATAAACGTGAGATAAACGTGAGATAAACGTGAGATAAACGTGACATAAACATAAACCTTCTCCTCGGTGTTGAGTCTGACCCTGGTGACATTCTGATACTTTACTTATTTCAATAGTTCCTCTAGTTTCTGAATAAGACACATTTGAATGTCAAAAACCTGCCCCTGTTTCCTCCGTTACCACTTGACTGGACTCGTGTATTTCTGGTCGTGTAGTTTTTATTCCAGCCACATGACACGACTCCAGCAGCAGATTGGAAAATAACAGACTGTACTGGAAATAAAGGATGTGTAACACTTTATTAGGGGTAAAAGGAGCAGATTAAACGCAAAATTAAGAAAAAAAATCTAGGTGAGGAAAAATGTACTAAAATTGTTCTGGAAGAACCAAGTGTGTAATTAAGTAAAACTGTTCTGCAGAGACGATTCACGACGAACACGAGTCAGTAGAGTCACATTTTCTTTGTGTTTTGGTCATTTTTAAGATGATTTTTTTGTATTTTACAGAAACAAATGACAGTTTGTTTCTCTCTTTTTTTTTTTTTTTTTTTTTTTACTGTTGGCAAGTATTAAATTGGTCCAAAACAGAGACTCTGGGACATTTCTTGTATATTCACTCTAGTTTAATTCTACTGTCACAAACACGACGTGTCTCCACGGCAACAGAAACGACTCTAACAAAGTTTAAAGTTGTGAACATGAAGAGTCGAGTTTAAACAAAACCTGAGCTCAAGTTTCCACAGATTAAAAGTCTCAGATTCTTGTTTAAATTCCTCCTGTCGTCTCGAGTCACGACGACAGCAACAACAGAACCAGTGTAGACCCGGTTTAGACCCGGTTTAGACCCGGTTTAGACCCGGTTTAGACCCGGTTTAGACCCGGTTTAGACCCGGTTTAGACCCGGTTTAGTCCTGGTTTAGACCCGGTTTAGACCCGGTTTAGTCCTGGTTTAGACCCGGTTTAGACCCGGTTTAGACCCGGTTTAGACCCGGTTTAGACCCGGTTTAGACCCGGTTTAGACCCGGTTTAGACCCGGTTTAGACCCGGTTTAAGACCCGGTTTAGTCCTGGTTTAGACCGGTTTAGACCCGGTTTAGACCCGGTTTAGACCCGGTTTAGACCCGGTTTAGACCCGGTTTAGACCCGGTTTAGACCCGGTTTAGACCCGGTTTAGACCCGGTTTAGACCCGGTTTAGACCCGGTTTAGACCCGGTTTAGTCCCGGTTTAGACCCGGTTTAGTCCCGGTTTTCGACCTGGTTTAGTCCCGGTTTTTGACCTGGTTTAGTCCTGGTTTTCGACCTGGTTTAGACCTGGTTTAGCCCTGGTTTAGACCTGGTTTAGTCCTGGTTTAGTCCTGGTTTAGACCTGGTTTAGACCTGGTTTAGTCCTGGTTTAGACCTGGTTTAGTCCTGGTTCAGTTCTGTTGTCTGTTTGCAGATGTTTGAGGAGGAGGATGACGAGGAGGAGGAAGAGGAGGGGGGCGGGGCCAAACGTCGGCGCCGTGTGGGCGTGGCCCGTCGCCCTGGAGACCGCTGGATGCTCCGCGGGCCGATCGAGTACGTGCCCCCTGCAGCGGTGGAGGTGTTACTGCGGCGACAGGCCATTCCCCTCGACGAGAACGAAGGAATCTATGTCCGAGACATCAAGACCGGGAAGGTGCGCACCTGTCACCCTCTCTGTCACCTCTGCACCTGTCACCCTGTCTGCCTCTGCACCTGTCATCTCTCTGTCACCTGCCTGCACCTGTCACCCTCTGCGCCTGTCACCCTCTGTCACCCTCTGCACCTGTCCTCTCACACCTGTCACCTGTCACCCTCTGTCACCCTCTGTCATCACCTCTGTCACCTGTGCACCTGTCACCTGCACCTGTCATCCCTGCACCTGTCATCCTCTGCACCTGTCATCACCTGCACCTGTCATCACCTACACCTGTCACCCTCTGCACCTGTCACCCTCTGCACCTGTCCCCTACACCTGACATCCTCTGCACCTGTCACCCTCTGCACCTGTCACCCTCTGCACCTGTCCCTGCACCTGTCACATCCTCTGCACCTGTCACCCTCTGCACCTGTCCTCTGCACCTGTCACCCTCTGCACCTGTCACCCTCTGCGCCTGTCACCTCTGCACCTGTCACCCTCTGCGCCTGTCACCCTCTGCACCTGTCCTCTACACCTGTCATCCTCTGCACCTGTCATCACCTGCACCTGCACCTGTCATCCTCTGCACCTGTCATCCTCTGCACCTGTCATCACCTACACCTGTCACCCTCTGCACCTGTCACCCTCTGCGCCTGTCACCCTCTGCACCTGTCCCCTACACCTGTCATCCTCTGCACCTGTCACCCTCTGCACCTGTCACCCTCTGCACCTGTCATCACCTGCGCCTGTCATCATCTGCATATGTCACCCTCTGAACCTGTCCTCTGCACCTGTCACCCTCTGCACCTGTCCTCTGCACCTGTCACCCTCTGAACCTGTCCTCTGCACCTGTCACCCTCTGCACCTGTCATCACCTGCGCCTGTCATCACCTGCGCCTGTCATCACCTGCGCCTGTCATCATCTGCACCTGTCCTCTACACCTGTCACCCCCTGCACCTGTCTTCCTCTGTTCTGTATATTCCCAGATTTCTAGTCCTGGTTTAGATCTGGTTTATGCTTTGACCTCTGACCTGGTGTTGTTGTTCCTGTCTGACCCGGTGTGTGACCCGGTGTGTGACCCGGTGTGTGACCCGGTGTGTGACTCGGTGTGTGACTCGGTGTGTGACCCGGTGTGTGTCTCGGTGTGTGACCCGGTGTCTGACCCGGTGTGTGACTCGGTGTCTGACCCGGTGTCTGACCGGTGTCTGACCGGTGTCTGACCCGGTGTGTGACTCGGTGTGTGACTCGGTGTGTGACTCGGTGTCTGACCCGGTGTGTGACCCGGTGTGTGACCGGTGTGTGACTCGGTGTGTGTCTCGGTGTGTGACCCGGTGTGTGACCGGTGTGTGACCCGGTGTGTGACTCGGTGTGTGACCCGGTGTGTGACTCGGTGTGTGACCGGTGTGTGTCTCGGTGTGTGACCCGGTGTGTGACTCGGTGTGTGACTCGGTGTGTGACTCGGTGTGTGTCTCGGTGTGTGACTCGGTGTGTGTCTCGGTGTGTGTCTCGGTGTGTGTCTCGGTGTGTGACCCGGTGTGTGACTCGGTGTGTGACTCGGTGTGTGTCTCGGTGTGTGTCTCGGTGTGTGTCTCGGTGTGTGACTCGGTGTGTGTCTCGGTGTGTGACTCGGTGTGTGTCTCGGTGTGTGTCTCGGTGTGTGACTCGGTGTGTGTCTCGTGTGTGTCTCGGTGTGTGTCTCGGTGTGTGTCTCGGTGTGTGACTCGGTGTGTGTCTCGGTGTGTGACCCGGCGTGTGACTCGGTGTGTGACTCGGTGTGTGTCCCTCAGGTCCGGGCGGTGATCGGGCACACGTACATGTTGACTCAGGACGAGGAGCTGTGGCAGAAGCAGCTCCCGGGGAACGTGGAGCTTCTTCTGGCGTCGCCGCTCGACCCTTTGGCCGATCGATCCGACCGGAACCAAACACAGAACCAGACGCCCAGAGACAAAACCCGCGTAGTGTCGTACCGCGTCCCGCACAACGCCGCCGTGCAAGTGTACGACTACAGAGAGAAGAAGGCACGGTGAGTCCACGACGCACAACACAACAACAACACAACAACAAACAACAACAACAACACAAACACAACACAACAACAACAAACAACACAACAACCAACAACACCAACGCCGCCGTGCAAGTGTACGACTACAGGGAGAAGAAGGCACGGTGAGTCCACGACGCACAACACAACAACAACAACAACAACAACAACACAACAACAACAACAACAACAACACAACAACAAACAAAACAACAACAACAACACCAACGCCGCCGTGCAAGTGTACGACTACAGAGAGAAGAAGGCACGGTGAGTCCACGACGCACAACACAACAACAACAACACAACAACAACAACAACAACAACAACAACACAACACAACAACAACAACAACAACAACACAACACAACAACAACAACAACAACAACAACAACAACAACAACAACAACAACAACAACAACACAACAACAACACAACAACAACACACAACAACAACACAACAACAACACAACAACAACACAACAACACACAACAACACAACAACACACACAACAACACAACACAACACAACAAACACAACACACAACAAACACAACAACAACACACACAACACAACAACACACAACAAACACACAACAACACAACAACAACACAACAACAACACAACAACAACAACAAACAACAACAACAACAACAACAACAACAACAACAACACACAACAACAACAACAACAACACACAACAACACAACAACAACACACACACAACAACAACAACAACAACACAACAACAAACAACAACAACAACAACAACAACAACACACAACAACAACAACAACAACAACAACAACAACACAACAAACAAACAACACAACAACCAACAACGCCGCCGTGCAAGTGTACGACTACAGGGAGAAGAAGGCACGGTGAGTCCACGACGCACAACACAACAACAACAACAACAACAAACAACAACAACAACAACAACAACAACACAACACAACAACAAACAACACCACAACAAACAACACCACAACAAACAACAACACAACAACAACAACACAACAAACAACACCAATGCCGCCGTGCAAGTGTACGACTACAGAGAGAAGAAGGCACGGTGAGTCCACGACGCACAACACAACAACAACAACAAACAACAACAACACAACAACAACAACAAACAACACAACATCAAACAACAAAACAACAACGACACAACAACAACAAACAACACACAACAAACAACACAACAAAACAACAACGACACAACAACACACAACAAACAACACACAACAACAACACAACAACAAACAACACAACAACAAACAACACAACAAAACAACGACACAACAACAAACAACACACAACAAACAACAACACACAACAAACAAAACAACAACAACAAACAACACAACAACACACAACAACAAACAACACAACAACACACAACAACACAACAACAACACAACAACAACACAACAACAACACAACAACAAACACAACAACAACAACAACAACAACAACAACAACACACAACAACAAACAACACAATAATACAACAAACAACAACACAACAAACAACAACAACAACAACACAACAACAACACAACAACAACAACAACAACAACAACAACAACACAACAAACAACAACAACAACAACAACAACAACAACAACAACAACAACACACAACAACAACAACACACAACAACAACACAACAACAACAACACAACAACAACAACACACAACAACAACAACACAACAACAAACAACACAACAAACAACACAAACACAACAACACACAACAACACAAACACAACAACACACAACAACACAAACACAACATAACACACTTTGTCATGTTTTTGTCGTATAGTGTGTTCATGCCATGTTTTGTCGTGTTTGAGTGTGTGTATGTTGTGTGTTGTTGTTGACGTTGTTGTTGTGTTGTTTGTTGTTGTTGACTGTTTGTTGTGTGTTGTGTGTGTGTGTGTTGTGTGTGTTTGTTGTGTGTTGTTGTGTGTGTTGTGTGTTGTTGTGTTGTTGTGTGTTGTGTGTTGTTGTGTTGTTGTGTGTTTGTGTGTGTTGTTGTGTATGTTGTTGTGTGTTGTGTTGTGTTGTGTTGTGTGTGTTTGTGTTGTGTGTGTTGTTGTGTTGTTGTGTGTTGTTGTGTTGTTGTTGTTGTTGTGTGTTGTTGTGTTGTGTGTTGTGTGTTGTTGTGTGTTGTTGTGTTGTTGTGTGTTGTTGTGTTGTTGTGTGTATGTTGTGTTGTTGTGTGTGTTGTGTGTTGTTGTGTTGTTGTTGTGTTGACATTGTGTGTGTGTTGTTGTTGTGTTGTTGTGTGTTGTTGTGGTGTTGTGTGTTGTTGTGTGTTGTTGTGTTGTTTGATGTTGTGTTGTTGTGTTGTTGTGTTGACGTTGTGTGTGTGTTGTGTTTCAGCGTGGTGTTTGTTGTGTTGTTGTGTTGACGTTGTGTGTTGTTGTTGTGTGTTGTTGTGTGTTGTTGTGTGTTGTTGTGTGTTGTTGTGTGTTGTTGTGTGTTGTTGTGTTGTTGTGTGTTGTTGTGTGTGTGTTGTGTGTTGTTGTGTGTTGTTGTTGTGTTGTTGTGTGTGTGTTGTGTGTGTTGTGTGTTGTTGTGTGTTGTGTTGTTGTTGTTGTTGTTGTGTGTTGTCGTTGTGTGTGTGTTGTTGTTGTGTTTCAGCGTGGTGTTTGTCCGGAGCTCGTCATGCTCGGTCCGGATGAACAGTTGTGTTGTGTTTTTGTCGTGTTTCAGTGTGTGTGTTGTTGTGTGTTGTGTGTGTTGTGTGTGTTGTTGTGTGTTGTTGTGTGTTGTGTGTGTTGTTGTGTGTTGTTTGTGTTGACGTTGTGTGTTTGTTTGTTTCAGCGTGGTGTTTGGTCCGGAGCTCGTCATGCTCGGTCCGGATGAACAGTTTGTGTTTTGTCGTGTTTTTGTCGTGTTTCAGTTGTGTGTTGTGTGTGTTGTGTGTTGTGTGTGTGTGTTGTTGTGTGTTGTGTTGTGTGTTGTGTGTGTTGTGTGTGTTGTGTGTTGTGTGTGTTGTTGTGTTGTTGTTGTGTTGACGTTGTGTGTGTGTTGTGTTTCAGCGTGGTGTTTGGTCCGGAGTCGTCATGTCGGTCCGGATGAACAGTTTGTGTTTTTGTCGTGTTTTGTTCGTGTTTCGTGTTGTGTTGTTGTGTGTGTTTGTGTTGTTGTTGTTGTTGTGTTGTTGTGTTGTGTGTGTGTTGTGTGTTGTTGTGTTGTTGTGTTGACGTTGTGTGTGTTTGTGTGTTTGTGTTGTTTGTGTGTCATGTGGTGTTGTTTGTGTTTTGTGTGTTTTGTGTTGTTTGTTGTGTGTTGTTGTGTGTTGTTGTGTGTTGTTGTGTTGTTGTTGTGTTGTTGTGTGTTGTGTTGTGTTGATGTTGTGTGTTGTTGTGTGTTGTTGTGTTGACGTTGTGTGTTTGTTGTGTTTCAGCGTGGTGTTTGGTCCGGAGCTCGTCATGCTCGGTCCGGATGAACAGTTGTGTTTTTGTCGTGTTTTTGTCGTGTTTCAGTGTGTGTTTGTTTGTGTGTTGTGTGTTGTTGTGTGTTTGTTGTGTTGTTGTGTTGTTGTGTTGACGTTGTGTGTTTGTTGTGTTTCAGCGTGGTGTTTGGTCCGGAGCTCGTCATGCTCGGTCCGGATGAACAGTTGTGTTTTTGTCGTGTTTTTGTCGTGTTTCAGTGTGTGTTGTGTGTGTTGTTGTTGTGTGTTGTTGTGTGTTGTTGTGTTGTGTTGTTGTGTTGACGTTGTGTGTTGTTGTGTTTCAGCGTGGTGTTTGGTCCGGAGCTCGTCATGCTCGGTCCGGATGAACAGTTCACGGTTCTTTCTCTGTCTGGGGACAAACCCAAACGAGCGAACGTGATCAAAGCCGTTTGTCTCCTGCTCGGCCCCGACTTCTGCACCGACGTCATCACCATAGAAACAGCCGACCACGCCCGCCTCCAGCTGCAGCTCGCCTACAACTGGTACGAATACTACAAATACTACTACAAATACTACTACTAATACTGCCACACGCCCGCCTCCAGCTGCAGCTCGCCTACAACTGGTACGAATACTACAAATACTACTACAAATACTACTACTAATACTGCACACGCCCGCCTCCAGCTGCAGCTCGCCTACAACTGGTACGAATACTACAAATACTACTACAAATACTACTACTAATACTGCCACACGCCCGCCTCCAGCTGCAGCTCGCCTACAACTGGTACGAATACTACTACTACTACTACAAATACTACTACTAATACTGCCACACGCCCGCCTCCAGCTGCAGCTCGCCTACAACTGGTACGAATACTACTACTACTACTACAAATACTACTACTAATACTGCCACACGCCCGCCTCCAGCTGCAGCTCTCCTACAACTGGTACGAATACTACTACTACTACTACAAATACTACTACTAATACTGCCACACGCCCGCCTCCAGCTGCAGCTCGCCTACAACTGGTACGAATACTACTACTACTACTACAAATACTACTACTAATACTGCCACACGCCCGCCTCCAGCTGCAGCTCGCCTACAACTGGTACGAATACTACAAATACTACTACAAATACTACTACTAATACTGCCACACGCCCGCCTCCAGCTGCAGCTCGCCTACAACTGGTACGAATACTACAAATACTACTACAAATACTACTAATACTGCCACACGCCGCCTCCAGCTGCAGCTCGCCTACAACTGGTACGAATACTAAAATACTACTACAAATACTACTACTAATACTGCCACACGCCCGCCTCCAGCTGCAGCTCGCCTACAACTGGTACGAATACTACAAATACTACTACAAATACTACTACTAATACTGCCACACGCCCGCCTCCAGCTGCAGCTCGCCTACAACTGGTACGAATACTACTACTACTACTACAAATACTACTACTAATACTGCCACACGCCCGCCTCCAGCTGCAGCTCTCCTACAACTGGTACGAATACTACTACTACTACTACAAATACTACTACTAATACTACTACTAATACTGCCACACGCCCGCCTCCAGCTGCAGCTCGCCTACAACTGGGACGAATACTACTACTACTACTACTACAAATACTACTACTAATACTACTACTAATACTGCCACACGCCCGCCTCCAGCTGCAGCTCTCCTACAACTGGTACGAATACTACTACTACTACTACTACAAATACTACTACTAATACTGCCACACGCCCGCCTCCAGCTGCAGCTCGCCTACAACTGGTACGAATACTACAAATACTACTACAAATACTACTACTAATACTGCCACACGCCCGCCTCCAGCTGCAGCTCGCCTACAACTGGTACGAATACTACAAATACTACTACAAATACTACTACTAATACTGCCACACGCCCGCCTCCAGCTGCAGCTCTCCTACAACTGGTACGAATACTACAAATACTACTACAAATACTACTACTAATACTGCCACACGCCCGCCTCCAGCTGCAGCTCGCCTACAACTGGTACGAATACTACAAATACTACTACAAATACTACTACTAATACTGCCACACGCCCGCCTCCAGCTGCAGCTCTCCTACAACTGGTACGAATACTACTACTACTACTACAAATACTACTACAAATACTACTACTAATACTGCCACACGCCCACCTCCAGCTGCAGCTCGCCTACAACTGGTACGAATACTACTACTACTACTACAAACTACTTACTAATACTACTACTAATACTGCCACACGCCCGCCTCCAGCTGCAGCTCTCCTACAACTGGTACGAATACTACTACTACTACTACTACAAATACTACTACTAATACTGCCACACGCCCGCCTCCAGCTGCAGCTCGCCTACAACTGGTACGAATACTACTACTACTACTACTACAAATACTACTACTAATACTGCCACACGCCCACCTCCAGCTGCAGCTCTCCTACAACTGGTACGAATACTACAAATACTACTACAAATACTACTACTAATACTGCCACACGCCCGCCTCCAGCTGCAGCTCGCCTACAACTGGTACGAATACTACAAATACTACTACAAATACTACTACTAATACTGCCACACGCCCGCCTCCAGCTGCAGCTCTCCTACAACTGGTACGAATACTACAAATACTACTACAAATACTACTACTAATACTGCCACACGCCCGCCTCCAGCTGCAGCTCGCCTACAACTGGTACGAATACTACAAATACTACTACAAATACTACTACTAATACTGCCACACGCCCGCCTCC